CCTGTAAACTTTCACTCAATCTACAATAAAAACCTTAAATTAAAAAGAAAAAAAGAAAGATTATGTCTGCCTCTAGATATTCTGCAGGCAGGATACAGTCCAAAGGAGGTACATGTTTTCCTCCACGAAAAGGATCATCCCTGGAGCAATGTGGCGATCAACAGAACTAAAGCAAGGAATATAGGAAGCAGGGCTTTCTCAGTTTCAAAGGATGGGGTCATAGCCTCCTAGGATTCAATGTCAGATCTTCGCCAACTCTTTGTCAGGGTGTGGGGAATGCACTTAAGGAGTGCCACAGGGAATGCAGTTGCCGTCCAATGCTGAGGGGGGAAGGTTGCCATGCCCAGCGGGCAGAAGAATGGGGAGAAGGGGTGCCACTCAAATGGATTATGGAAATGGTGCTGCCTAGAGGTGAGACAGCAGAGTTGCCATTTCAGAGGACCTGGAAAGTAGTCCAGGACTAAGGGGCCTCTAGCCAAAATCCAGAAGGCATGGCAAAGATCCAAAGAATGGAGGTCAGGGCCATTGTTCAGATGGTCTCAGGGAAGAGAAGATTCTTTTCAAGACTTAAGATCTAATGTAATTTATTCTGTTGGGATTCCCTCCAAATTTTCTCATCTGCATTGGAAATGTCTACCTTATAAATGTTTCATCATTGTGCTGTGGAAATAGAAAACTTGTATTCTAGATTTCACAAGTTCACAGATGAAGAGAAATTTTGTCCCAGGATGGAAGTGCCTAAGGTTTCATCCATATTTGATTTAGATAATTCCAAAGATGAGATTTTGGACTTGGAGCTGATTTGAGACTTTTGGAATGAGTAATCAAGTGAACATGTTTTGCATGTGGCAAGGACACAAATTTTGGGGAGTCAAAGAGTAGACTATTGTAGATTGACTTATGTCCTCCAAAAATATGTGTTGTAAATCCTAATCTCTGTGGCGCTGTAGGATAATGCACTGCACCACAAGGTCAGTTTGTACTGCAAAGTTGGCAGACATGGAAAAGAGAAAATTTCAAGCCACATAAAGATCATCACCCAGGAGCAGAAACTCAAAAGACAAGGACCTTCCTACAGAGCCAAAAGAGAGAGAAAGCCTTCCCGTGAGCTGATGCTCAGAATTTGGACTTTAGTCTCCTGTTGTTGTAAGTGCCTTCATGTCAGTTCCAACTCACAGAGATTCTGTGATGAGATTCCGAGACTGTAAATCTTTATGGGAACAGAAAGCCTCATCCCACATTTAGCATCCTAAATGTGAAAAAACAAATTTCTGTTTGCTAAAGTCTGTCACACTTGTAGTACTTATGTTTTAGTTGTTGTGTTGCTGTTGTGAAGCGCCATCCAGTCAGTTTTAACCCATAGCGACCCCAAATAGGGTTTCCAAGGAGCGACTGGTGAGCTTGAACCGCCGATCTTGAGATTCAAACCAACTTTGCAGTGCAGCGCATTAACCTACAGCATAGCAGCACCAGATAACTAAGACACGTACCTTCAAAAGAATTCTCTAATCTAAGAAATATTTTGGTAAGAAACACTTTTCCATGACTGGCTAACAAGCTAAATCTTGATACCAGCAGAGCTGAGGCATGTAAGGCAGAGGATCTCATGGTTTCTTACATAGATCTTCAGGGTTATCAAATAGCAAAGAGGAAAAGGTTAAGGAGAGAGAAATATGCCTCTAACCTAGCTAGCTATCAGTCTTACTGACATCTTCTCTTCTTTGGCCTAGACAAAGGGAAAACATCTGGGGATCAGGGGTACCAAGACTATATCTGACTCAGAATTATAGCAGGTTAGGACACATTGGTATTCACATTCCTTCCTTAACACATACTGAATGATAGGTTTTAATATAATATACTGAATAAAACATTTCAAACATCAGATGTATTCCTGCAATGCTTAGTGCCATTTATAGATTTAAGAAAAGGATTTTCCCAGCAAAATTCACTGAAGCATATAATCACTTGGTTAAGCTTCAGAGAAAATAAAAAAAATAAGGAAAATAAAATAAGTAAGGGAAATACCTTGGTTCGTTGGAAGACAGCCTTTGGATCTAAAGTTTTAGTCTTCCCAGGATTGTTTTTGTTGGTCTTAATCCAACATATATCTTCACATCTTCTGTAACCCCACTTGCGTAGACACTAGAAGTGAAAGGAGGAAAAAAAAAAAAACTTAAAAGAACTAAACAATACTTAAAATAATCAACCAACATTAAAAACTTATTTACATGTTTCAGATACTAAATTTCAAAGAAGCATACATGTAATTTTGTTTTAATGTCGAAACAGAAAAGAAGAAATGCCCATCTTAAAATAGACTGTAAGCACACAGAATGATAGAAGTTATTTGAATATTAATATATACTGCTAAATATCAAAACATAAAACAGAGCATATGATGCTCTAATTCTTCACTACTACCTTCTGTACGATAAGCATTGAACTGGTAACCAAAAGATTGACAGCTCAAACCTACTAGCCTATCCTCCAAAACCCTACACAATGGTTCTGAGTCAAAAACCAACTTGAGGACACTTAATGATAACAACATTGTAATTAACAGATGCAGGGTTTTAATTTTTTTATTATTATTTTAACAGCTCTGATGACATAGTGGATTAAGAATTGGGTTGCTAACCACAAAACCAGTGATTTTAACCCATCAGTCACTGTACAGGAAACAGATGAGGCTGTTTGATACCGTACAGATTTAAAATACCAAGAAACTCTAAGAAGCAGTTCTACTCTCCACTACAGCATTGTTATGTCAGAACTAACTCAGTAACAGTGGATTGGGTTTGGTTTATTGAGCTATCACAGGATATATGAATACATTTTATATCATGGAATGCACTTATTTAAAGTACACAGTTCAATGGCTTTTAGCATACTCAGAGTTGTGCCACTCATCATCACAATCCATTTTAGAATATTTCCACAGCCACTAAAAGAAATCTGTACCTGTTGGCCAACCCATCAGTCCCACCATAGGGAACCAATAACCTACTTTGTGTCACTATGGATGAACCTACTGTAAACATCAAATATAAATGGTAACCTATAATATATGATCCTTTAAGATGGAGCTTTAAACACAAAGGAAATACAAAGCCCTTCTGTAATCATAAAACAATCCAAAAGATCACTTGATTCCTCAATGTTACATCCTCTGACAAAGCTAAGCAATGTTGAAAGGTTTGTAATTGATAACTACTTTTCAAACGAACAGCTTGTCATACAGTGGTGGCTTGCATGTTGCTATAATTCTGAAAATTATACCAGCAGGGTCACCCACTGAGGACAGGTTTCAGTTGAGTTTCCAGACTATGACAGATTAGGAAGGAAAAGAGACAGACTACTACTGTAGATTTAGTCTCTGAAAACGTTAGGAATAGCACTGAAACACTGTCAGATTGCACCAGAATATTGACTATGGAAACATAATGAAGAACACCAGAATACTGTCACACAAAGTGCCAGAGGACACACCACTCAGGAGGAAGCCACTCAAAATACAACTGAAGAAGCACTGCCATGTCAAAGTCGAGTTGACCGTGATGACAATAATGGAGTAAAGCTTTCAGGACCTTCATTTGCTGATATGGCACAACTCAAAATGAGAAGAAACAGCTGTAAACATCCATTAATAATTGGAACATGGAAAGTACAAAGTCTGAATCTAAGAAAACTGGGAGTTATCAAAAATGAAACGGAACGTATAAACATCGATATTCTGTGCATTAGTGAGCTGAAATGGACTGGCATTGGCCATTTACTAATCTGATAATCACATGGTTTACTATGCTGAGAATGACAAATTGAAGGAATGACAAATTGAAGGAATGACGTCACATTCATCATCAAAAAGAACCTATCAAGATGTCTTGGAGTACAATGCTGTCTGTGATAGGATAGTATCCATACACCTATAAGGAAGACCAGTTAATACCACTGCTATTCAAATTTAAACATCAACCACTAAAGAGAGTGATGATAACATTGAAGAATTCTACCAACTTCTTCAGTCTAGAACTGAGCAAACATGCAATCAAGATGTTTGCTATTGAAATGTAAAAGTGTGGAAGCATCTAAATGATGCCGGAGATCACATGACAAAATTTTGCAAGACCAATAACTTCATCATTGCAAACAGCCTTTTTAAACATGAAAGGTGACTCTACACATGGAATTCACCAGATGAAATACACAGAAATCAAATTCACTACATCTGTGGAAAGAGACAGTGGAAAGCTTCATACCATCAGTCAAAACAAGGCCAGGGGAAGATACTGTGGAACAGAACATCAATTACTCATATACAAGTTCAGGCTAAAGCCAAAGAAAATTAAAACAGGTCCACAAAAGCCAAAATAAGAGATCATCTGAAGAACAGATCTGATGCATCAGACACTAAAGACCAACGACCAGAAGAATTGTAGAATGACATCAAGAACATCATACAGGAAGAAAGTAAAAGGTTATTAAGAAGATAAGAAAGAAAGAAAAGACCAAAACGGAAGTCAGAAGAGACTCAGAAACGTCTCTCCAGCGTAGAGATGCTAAAGTTAATGGAAGAATAGAGAAGGTAAAGAGCTGAACAGAAAATTTCCAAGTTCAGCTTGAGAAGACAAAGTCAAATATTTAATGAAATGTACAAAAACCCAGAGTTAGAAAACCAAAAGGGAAGAACATACTCAGCATTTCTCCAGCTCAGAGAACTGAAGAAAAAATTTAAGCCTCAACTTAAAATAACTGAAGGATTCTACGGGTAAAATACCGAATGATGCAGAAGGCATCAAAAGAAGATGGAAGGAATACACAGACCCACTGTACCAAAAGAAATAGCTGATGTTCAACCATCTCAATAGGTAGCGTATGATCAACAATCAATGATACTAAAGGAAGAAGTCCAGGCTGCACTGAAGTTATTGGCAAAGAATAAGGCTCCAGGAATTAATGGAATATAAATTATCTTTCAAGAAACTGATGCAGCACTGAAGGCACTCCCTCATGCCAAAAAACTTGGAAAACAGGTACCTGGTCAACTGATGGGAAAAGACCTGTAGTTAGTACCCATTCCAAAGAGAGATGTGCTCAAGGATTGCAGAAAACATTGGACAATACCACTACTATCACATGCAAGTAAAACTGTGCTAAAGATAATTTTAAAATGCCTGTAATAACATACTGCAGGGACCTGCCAAAGGTTCAAGCAGATTCAGATGAGGACCTGAAATAAGAAATATCATTTGCTGTCGCCAGATGGATCTTGGGTGAAAGCAGAAAATACTTTCAATTGTGTGGCTCACGACAGGCTATGGACAATATTTCAGAGAATGAGTATTTTGGAACACTTAACTGTGCTCATGAGGAACCAGTACACAGACCAAGAGGCAGTTGTTTGAACAGAACAAAGGAACACTGAATGGTTTAAAATTAGGAAAGGTGTATGCCAGGGTTCTACTATTTCATAATATTTATTCAATACGTATACTGAGCAAATGATCCAAGAAACTGGATTATAGGAAGAAGAAAGTGGCATCAGGATTGGAGGAAGACTTATTAACAACAACCTGTGATATGCAGATGACACGAGTTTGCTTGCTGAAAGCGAAGAGGACTTAAAATACTTACTGTTGAAGATCAAAGATTACTGCCTTCATTATGGATTTCACTTCAACATAAAGAAAATAAAAATCCCCACCAAACAGACCAAGAAAGTACATCAAAATAAATGGAGAAAAGATTAAAGTTGTCAAAGATTTCATTTTGCTCGGAATAACCACCATCAACGTTCATGAAAGAAGCAGCCAAGATAGCAAATGGCATATTGCATTAAGCAAATCTCCTGCACAAGAACTCTAAAATGTTTAAGAGCAAATATGTCCGTTTGAGGACTAAAGTGTAACTGACCCATGTCCTGGTATTTTCAATAATCTCATATGCATGTGAAAGTTAGTCAGTGAATAAGGAAGACCGTAGAAGAACTGATGCATTTGAATTATAGTGTGGGAGGAGAATATTAAAAAGTACCATGGACTGCCAGAAGAACAAATAAATCTGTGTTGGAGAAGTACAGACAGAGTGCCCCTTAGAACCCCGGATGGACAAACTTCATCTCTCAGACTTCAAACATGTTATCATAGGGACCAGTGTCTAGAGATGGACATCTTGCTTAGTAAAGTGAATGGTCAGCAAAACATAAGAAGGCCACCCAAAAAGATGGATTGTCACAGTCACAGCAACAACAGGCTCAAATATAGCGAGGATTATGAGGCTGGTGCAGGACCAAGTAGCGTTTCGTTCTGCTGTGCAGAAGGTCGCTATGAATCAGTACTGATTCAAAGGTACCTAACAACAACAATAACAAAAGTCCTGTAAAAGTTTATTTCTATATTAAATATTATCAACTTGTAAAAATATAAAGACTATTGTTATGTGTATTTCTTTACTGGAGAGAGATAAACTTTTATCTTTAAATGCTTAGAAAATACAGATTTAAACCTTAGTGTCCTAGAATCTGTTATATATAA